TCCCGATCTCCTGTCCACAAGAACTCTACCCACAACACACTACTTCCGTGCATTGGTGACATCTCGTGTAGGAGGATGAGATGTTCCCCATGTGTGGCTGTGATGTTATGTGGGTAGGCGTGGGCAGGAGATCTGGATTCGGTTAAGAGGCTCTGGATTTGCTTGAAACCAGAAATGGAAGCCAGGCTAGAGACTCCAATCAGAAGTAAACATGTCAGTGTCAGTGCGGCTTGGGTTGGGTTGGGTTTCATAGCAGATCCAGAGTGGGTGTGGGAGAGGGACATGACAACTTTAAGTGAGCATTGCTAATCCAAAAACTTGCAATTTGCAGAACGTGAGACCCGTTATTCCATTTGACTGCCCACCTGCACTACGAGCTTTGATTGAGCAATGCTGGGCCTTGCACCCAGAGAAGAGGCCTGAATTTTGGCAGATTGTAAAGATATTAGAGAAGTTTGAGTCTTCACTCGCTCGCGATGGCACGTTGAACCTGGTTCAAAACTCAACATGCCAGGATCATAAGATGCGGTTACTCCATTGGATTCAGAAGCTTAGTCCTGTGAATCCCAATGGATCATCCATGTCTAAACCTAAATTTTTGTAACTTCACTATATCCTGGCTTTTGTAGTTTCACCAGTTCATTTATATAATTAAAATTTGACTTTCAAAGCCTCTTCTATTGGGTTTCTCTGCCTCAAAGGGCACACATTCACAAGTTGAATACACTGATGCACTGAAGATGTGGATAGAGTATCAAACAAAATTGGTTTCACTGAACAGTAAAAAAAAACCTCGAGTGATTTTGACTTTAAAAAGTGGAATTGATGCAAATAATAATAATAATCAAATAAAAAACATGAATGGTAAGGGCTGTGCAAATGAGCCATTCAGGACCAGGACATTCAAATTAGGTAGGAAAGTGGGCATATGAATAATGAACTAGATGTCAAGTACAGGTCACTGTTGTCTGCAGTTTGGCTTGCATTGATGATTGCTCCTGGCTAACGACCATTGAAAGTTTGAAACAGCAATGAGTGCACCAAGTTAATAAGGCTGATTTTTAGGTCAGGGTTAATTTTTATCATTAAATAAATAATGTTAATGGTGTATGAGGAGTTCAGGATTACTTCTCTGTCTTCGTCAATGGAAGGTAGGTATCTTTAGAGGGGTCCTTATTTTCTACCTACGAGAGCTTCAACCACATCTACCCACTGGACACCAGAGCTGCACAAGGGGAACTAAAAAAATAAGAAGATATGATGTGGATGGGGGCTCTGGGTGGGACTTGGTCCGTTTGGTTGCTGAGAAAGGATATGATGAGAGGGATGCGATGAGAAAGGATGGGTTGAGAAGATAAAATTTATTTTCTCATTCCTGTCATCTTGTGTTTGCTTGTTGAGACCAGTTATCCTACCAAATTTGCTTCATAGTGGTTGGTTGCTGAGAAAAATTAAAGAAATTACAGGTTAAAAATTACAAAAATTTCTACTTTTCTGTTTAATTTATAAATTACAAAAATTACAGAAATTATAGATTTGTTGAAAACCGATTCAACAAATGGATCTGCATAGGGGTTTATCAGATTTAAAAAAATAAGAAGCAAGATGGAAGGAATACCTGATAGTGCTTTGAAGAGTCTAAAAAACGAAAAACACCACTGTAATTCAGTGGATCTAGCACAAGAGGTTGCAGATCTGAAAAGCATGATCGATCCCGTTTGACGTACACCATATACACATAGTCATCAGATGATTGGGTGATAACGGTGAAGGAGAGGAAAAGAAGAGAGAAGAGGAATAATGGATGATGAGTGTGGCCTCCGGTGGCCATGCCTTCTAGTTTTCTCTTATCTGCCTCTATTATGACAAAATCTGAGAGTCAGATCTAAAAAACACAAACATGATAGATCTACACCACTAAATTCATCTGATGGAAAAAACGGTGCCATAAAATGGTATAACCTTCACCAGTGATGAAGAAAGTGATGGTTGGAGCTATGGCGTAAAGAGATGACGTAAAGAGAACGAAAGTGAATCCAAAACGAGAAAAAATACAAAAAAAATGGCGTAAAGGGAAGATGGAGACGATGGAGTTGTGACCGTTGGGGTGTCTGAAGCTTGGTTGAGAAGGTGAGGAACTGCCACCTTCGATAAAATTTTCCCACTTGGTTCTCACTGTTACTGTTTCTCAGTGGGGCCGTACTTATTTGGTGAGATCCCACATCCTTATTTTTGTGAATCAATTTCTCATCGCGTCTCACTGTTTCTTTCGAATCAAACACGAAAAGGAAGAATCTAAAGAAAATATTCTTTCTTTTTCATCCCTGTTGCGGCAACCAAATGGACTGTAGGAGATCCCAACTCTCTCTAGAGGTGTCAAAAAGTCGGGGTAAATTTAAGACAAATAAGGAGAAGTGAGAAAAAGTTTCAGATAGGGGTGGGCGGGCGGGCCAGGTTGGGCTTTTGGCAAATTTTGAATGGGCCGGGTCTGGCCTGAAGCAATGTAAAATGCTAATTGCGTCAACAGAAATTTCTTCAACTCAAGGTGTTTAATGAACATAGGGTGGGAGTGGGCAATCTATGATCTCCATCCATTCATAATAAAGGCCCCCCATGCAATTAATACTTCAATAGGTCTAGAGTTCTCTTTGGTTATAAAAATGACTTTTGCTGAACGGTCAATTTTTGATTGTGGTTTAATTGATAGGATCTTTGATTCAATTATATAATTACAAACCCCAAGAAGAAGCTCTGGGGTTCATTGCAACTCTCTTCATGTAAACTCAACGATTGCATGTTTGCTTCACATGGTAGAAGGTATCATGTTTTTTTTCATTAGTTACTTCCACTCTCAAAAAAAAAAAAAACTCAGTTGAATTTATTAAAATTCATCTACTAGTAAGGATTTTATTAAAATAAAAATACATACAAATAAAGTCTGATTTAGGTGGTGTTCGATTTCATGGAACAACCACGAGATATTGTGTTTTGGTCTATGCAACAGATGCTTTGGATGTTCGATTGGTTCGTGGTGTGGACCAATCTACAAGTCGTCCACGGGTTTATCTCGTGGATTAAACCACACTACCTGTTGTATGGGATGAAGAGTATCCCATGCTTCGCATCTCATATTAATCCTAAAATAAACCCTCTTTATTTTTATCGTTGCGACTTGTCACAGAGCACCGCCGCTACCACTGCTTCTCCGTTTACCGCTACAACTCCGACCACCGCTTCTTGCTTTATCACTCACCGCTGCAATTCCGACCAGCACTTCACCAAACTGTAGGCTGTAAGTTCTCCTTATTTGTTTATTCTTATAAAACCCTTGTTTCATATTTGTTTCACAACTGATTAATGAGTGTTCATTCTCTGATTCTTTTGCTTTGTCACTGGTTAGATCCACATGTTTATGTATTGTGAGAAACAAACTTCATCAACCCCATTAACGCCATTAATCTTCTCTTATCCTCTATCATCATCAACAAACACGATCCTCACAGGAGCACTCACCTTGAGTGCCCAGATTGGAGAAAAACTAACATCTGTTCCACGAAAACCACCTCCTTTACAAGCAATGAATCTAATTTTGGTGGGGTTGTTGGATAAAACTCCGGTTCCACGAAAACATGACAACTGTAAAGGAGTGATTTTTGCTCGTCCTTTTGCAATTCTTTGACTAATCACTTTCCGTCTACCCTTGGTCTCCTTGTTGTTTACACCCAATAAGAACACCGATTAAAATAGTAAAGGTTCAGCAATTTGTCATTTGTTTGCAACCATGATATCATAGATGAGAAGGGATGGACTTACGGAGCAAAGAATCCATGTGTTCTCTTACACTTGATGTGTCTGGGTTGGTATGTTCTTTTGGGAAGCAAGAGCATTGTTGCACTGGAAGAGCCTTCTCCTAAATAACAAAAATTTGCACAAGTTTAAGATATTAACAGAACACACAGAAACTAAGAACCATAAGGTCAGAAGCATCGAAGTAGAAACATGATTCAGACAATCATGCCTATTCCTAATCATATGATATGTATCCATATTTTAGGATAAAAACTTGAGAACAAATGAAACTTCAAACCTAAATTCCCTCCAAGATTTCCTTGTTTTACATATGGAACTAGACCTACCAAGCAGGGGTTTACCAAGACATTGTTGGCCTTTATCCTACTTTTTCAGTATGATGTATAGTTGATATTTTCGATTCATTTCATCTCATTTCATTTCTTTTTCTTTGAATGATTTTAAAATAGACATTTTAATTTTTTATGCACATAAAAAGCAGAAAAGTAACCCCATGTTCACCAATGGATTGATCAAAGGATCACCACTACTTCTTGGCTTCATTTTTATTCATCTGTTCTTTTAACAAATACATTTTTTTTCTTGCCACAAGTACATAAATGACATACCGGAATAAATAACTAATAAAATCAAATAATGTTGGTTTATAACATTTAATACCTCTTTTGCATTCTTCAATTTTTACAGCATTTTACCTATACCTGTCATATGCATATATCCCTTATTACATCATTAAAAAAGGAATAGAGCAATGTCATCAAGACCATTGCCAAGGAAAACAGTTTGTCTAGCGACACCTAGCCATGGCATGCCTAAGCAATAAACAGAACAGTAAAGCACTAGTGTATACCAAATGATTTCTCTACCTCATCTAATAGATTGTAGAGTAGTTAAACCCATTTACAACTAGAATAACTAAATAATGGGAAAACAAATTCAAGGGTTCCTTTAAAAGCATAAACTAACATACTTTTCGGGAAGTGTTGGCCATGAGATCCAGTTCTTCTAGAACCTCCATATAGTGAATGAGCACTAAAACTATATTGATATACTGAAGTGTAAAGCCATGATGCTATTCTCAGTATTGTAATAAATGAATGAACTAGCTAGAGCTTCTTTTAACTTAATCCTTGATAAAGCAAGAAAAACAACTTTAAATATACTACCTTGATATCCACCAAGTGTTAAAAATCATTTCCTTCTTTGTATTTTATAGTTGCCATTTTGAAATGTAAGAGTACTTCTTTCAATTCTTTAATTTGTTCTTGTTGTGCCTCTTAGGGGGTGTTCTTTTTTCGGATTTTGAAAGAGGGGAAAGTCAAGAATCCCATGTTCTTTTTTCAAATTTATGTGGGGACCAGAGAAAGTTTATTCTCTTGGGTACCACTTACCCGGTTAAGTGATACCCATCTCCTAGGTGGGTAAATAACTTTCCCACCTAGGGGGAAGTTGCCAACACTTGAATGGGACAAAAATGCCCATTTTAATAATGGATTTTTATGGCTAAAATGGTCATTGCCTTATTTACATGAGAAATAAAAGAACATGGGTAAATGCACTTACGCGGGTAAGCATTTCTCAAGAAAAACCTACCCAAGTAACTGCATTTACCCGGGTAAGTAACTTATCGAAAAGCGAACAGGGCCTTAATGTAATGTACCTATCAAAAGGCAGACTCCATTATCTGCCAATTTTTCAGACAATCATTATGTCTTCTTGAGATCATAAAACCATTGTGAATCAACACAAGCAAACCAAATATAGGCTGAGAAGTAGCTTTTTTCTCATCTGGTTACTTGGTTAGTAGGAATAAGGTACTATGGTATTTTCTGTCAATCACACTCCAAGGATGCACTGTAAAGT